CCCCCCCCCAAGGCATCCTGAAGGGTTGTAACCACAGGCACACCCACCCACGGGCAGGTTCCGCATCACCAAGAACCCTGACCCACGGGCAGGTTCCGCATCACCAAGAACCCTGTCCTCCCTGTGCCCTAGCACCCTGGCCCCCATCTCAGGCCTCCCAGGCCCTGCAGCACCCTGGGAGCCGCCCCCGCCCTCCTGTGACCCTGCAGCCACCCAGCCCCTCATGGCTGCATCCTGGACCTTGCTTGCTGTCCTGGGACACTGCTGCCTCACCCAGTGCCCCCCACCCCCAGAACCCCGGAAGAGCAGCCCCCGCAACCACCTGTGCCTTCGCATGTCCCCCCTCGGTGTGCTCCTGTGCAGTCCCTCCTCTATCCCCACCCCTGGGCGCCCACCCAAGCACTACTCATCCATGGAGCAAAGTGGTGGTCCTGGCTACCCCACTCATGCTCCGACAGCACAGGGCCTCCTGACCACAGGGGCCCACCCCCGGCCCCACCTCCTTTGTGTACTTGGTTTCCGAGATGCACCTCCAGCCCCAGGCGGCTGGACTCACGCACCTGGACCTGCCGCTCCAGGCCTGCTCTGCTGCTGCCCTCCGGCTGCTGAAGGCACTCAGATGGGCTTTCAATCCTGCCCCTGTGCTCCCCACCATGCCCCACCCTGGCCCTGAGGACTCACCTCATTGCCCTTCCTGCGAAGGCCCCCACCCCCGACTCGCGCTCCCATCTCTGCCTTCTCTTCTCCATGGAGCCGAGCTGCTCGGCCCCTGCCCTGGGAACACTTCATCCCGAGCAGCCACCCCACGGTCCCTCTCTGGAGTCGGTAGGAGAGAGGACCTGGCAGAGGAACCCCCATAAGGCCCTGGGGTGCTGGGCTCTGTTGCGTCTTACAGGTGTTCAGAATCTGCAGGGCGAGTGACCCCGCACCCTGGGAAGCACACAGAAGGAGCGTGTGCTGGGCCTGCAGTGGGCACGCAGGCCTGTTCCTGTCCCCAGAGGTGGCATCAGGCCCCGGGAGGCAGGCAGGACAGGTGGGGAGGAGGGTGTGTGGCAGCAGGAGGCAGCCTGTCCCTCTGCACCTGGGACGGGGCTGGAGCTGCCAGCCCCAGCAACTACTGCATGGGGTACTGGGCACACGGCAGCGGGTGGGCGGGCCAGGAACGAAGGGGACACGGAGATGCTATAGGTCTATGACGGCCCCCGTCTGTCACCCTGCCCTGTCCTGCAGGCCAGTCTGCCACAGCACCCACGTGCTCACGGTGCTGGAGGGAGCCATGGGGGCCTGGCACCCCGCTCCCGGAGCACCCTCTCCAGGCATGATAGGGCTCACCTTGGACTGGATTCTCGCCTGGGGCCAGCGGGCAATACCTGGCAGCCCTAGGGTCAGGTTCCCAGGGAGAAGGTGGAGGGGCACAGGGCAGGGCCTCTCCTCCCAGCCAGCTTCCCACTGCACACCCTCCTTCTGCACGGTTTCTGCTCTCACCGGCTTCCCTGGAGCAGAGGCCCCCGTCCTGCAGACAGGTCCCCCACTTCCACCCTGCTCACTTGATGTCTCCTCTATTGTCCTGAGGCCAGGGAGGCAGGGTCTACCCCTTCCCCCTTATACAGAGTGGGGGAGGCTTGCAGGTGGGGCACAGAGATGACAGGAGCCCGGATGCAGGTGAGTGGCACCGAGCTGGGATACCCTCTCTGTGGTGCCCTCGGTGGCCACACCTGGCCCAGGGGCCATGGGGACTGGGTGGGGCCTGGGCCCTCATGGGGCCTGGGGCAGTGACCCTCCCATCAGGACCAGACTCGTGTCTGGAGACACTGACCAGACCTTGCCCGGCCCATGCCTTCTGCCTCTCCACAGCCTCCACCCCAATCTCGCAGGCCACAGGGACTCAGTTCACCCAAGGAGCCTGTGCACGTCGGGGCTGGGGCGGTGGCTGGTCTGTGGCTAAGCCAGGAGGTGTCCTAGCACCCCGACCCCCGCCCCGCACCCCAGCCTGCTCTGCCCTCGGCTGAGGTGCCGTGCAGTGACCTGCCATGTCTCCCGCCCGCCCAGTGCTCAGTATCCACAAGCTGCCAGCCAGCAGCGCCGCCGACATCAGCTTCCCCATGAAGGGCTGGCGGGCCACAGGCGACTGGGCCAAGGTGCCGGAGGACAGGGTTACCGTGTCCAAGAGTGTCTTCTCCACGGGGCTGGCAGGTGAGGGCCCACCCCCCGGGGGCGTCTAGCCTGAGGCCTGAGAGACTCCTCCATGTTCCCAGGGTGGTACCCTCTGTAGGACCCACACCCCGGGGTGGTGCCAGGCGTGCAAATGGTCCAGTTCCTAGCTGGGGGCGGGAGTTGCAGGGTCGGACTCTGGTTGCTGGGACGGAAGCCATGCCCACCTGTCCCACCGCTTTGGAGGGTCACTCCGGGCAGGGGCTCTAGCTCCAGCCCACCTGGGGCAGCCAGTGCCTGCACTCTCCAGCCACAGCACTGTGGCCGTGGGCCGGAATCACCTACCCGCCTGCTAGGGCTGGGACAGGGCCCCACCTCCTCATGGATGGGGCAGCGGGGGCCAGCGGGCCAGTCCAGGCTGGGTGGGCAGGTGACAGTGAACCTCTTCCAGAGGCTGACGACTCATCCGTGTTCGTGGTCGGCACAGTGCTCTACCGGAACCTGGGAAGCTTCCTGGCTCTGCAGAGGTGGGCCATGCCTGGCTGCTGGGCTGGCTGGGGCCTGACCTTGGGAGGCAGGGCTGGTGACCTGGGAGAGGGGACAAGGTGCTGGCTGTGGAGGGTAGCAAGGGGCTCAGGGACATCGCGGGCCTAGGTGCCCTCGCGGCCTGTGCCCTGACACTGCTGCTGCTCCTTTGGATCACCACCAGGAACACAACCGTCCTGAACTCCAAGGTCATCTCAGTGACCGTGAAGCCCCCGCCTCGCTCCCTGTTCACGCCCTTGGAGATCGAGTTTGCGCACATGTACAATGTGAGTGCCCTCCATGTGTGCACGTGCCCATGCCCACGGCGCTTCCCGTTTGCATGAGCGTCTGTGCTCACACTTCTCAGGCATTCGCCCTTTGGGGTCTTCCGATGGCCTCTGTGAAGGCTGCTCTGTCCCCGAACCATAGGTGGGGAAACTGAGGCTCAGAGGGATGCAGTGACTTGCTCAGTGTAACAGGGCAGGTGAGTGTGGGTGCAACATTGAACCCAGTGGACGGGCATCCGAGCTCTAACCACAGCACCTGGCCCCTGTGGACTCAGCTGTCCCTGGGAGGAGAGGGTCTTTCCCTTCCAAAACTCGAAGCCTGCCCAGGCCTCCTGCCCACCTCGTGTTTGCCTGCCAGCCCCGCCTGAACCGTGGGCCCTGCTGACCATCCCCGCAGGGAGAGCCTGCTACCTACCCCTGCAGCCCAGGAAAGTAAACACCTCCGCTGCAGCTCCTGAAACAGGCTGCTAGGCCCACATGCAGGGTGCTGGGGCTTAGCTCCAGTGTATCTTCCCAGACCCCCTGGGGCAGGCACACCAAGTTCCACCACAGCTGCCATGGGACCCCAGGCCAGAACACATCCCAGGGTAGGGTTTGTACCCATGCCTGGCTGGGGAAGAGGAGGCTGTAACCCAACCATAGCTGATGCCAGGCCCACGTAGGGCCCCAGGAAGTGCCAGCTCGGCTCCGAGCCCTCGCTGGCCCCTGCTTCTCCAGGTGGACCTTAGACGAATAGGGGCCGAGATGTCCTTTGCGGGGGGAGGGGTCTCTTAGGTTACACAATAGGCCAGGGAAAGTGTGGGAAGACCTCAGCCCTGTCCTTTTCAGCTGTGTGACCCCAGGGAAGATCCTCAACTGCCCTGTGCTTAGGCTCCCTCAGTTAGGAAGTGGGAATAGACAGGGTGAGGGCTGGACCGTTCTGAAATGCCTGGAGCATGTGGCTAGGATGGCTCCCGTATCGCCAGGGCTGGCTCAGCATTCCAGGCAGGGACTGTCCCAGGCTCTTAGATGAACTAGTGGGACAGGGACTCCAGAGCACGCCTGCCTGCCCTGCACATTTGCCCCCGGGAAAGGGTATTCCCATGACCCCACTTAGTTTCTGAGTGCATGTCACTGCAGGCCAGCCCAGCTTGGGCTCAGAGGGGCCGGGAGCTGCCCGAGGCCACACGCGGGTCGGGGCTGGGCCAGTCCCATCTCTGCTCTGAGCCTGTGTCGTCTTTGTAAACTGGACTCTGAGGGCGCTGCCTGGGCAGGGCACTAAGCACCAGAGGGTGGATCCGGGTGGTACAGGCAGGCAGGCCTGACTCCCCCTCTCCCCCAGGGCACCACCAACCAGACCTGTATCCTGTGGGACGAGGCTGACATGTAAGTTCACTGGCTCCTGCGGCCACGGGCTGTGGGTGTGGCGGGGGGCAATGGGGCGCAAAGCACAGATGCTGGGTTTGGGTGCCGCTGCCCGTCCACTGTGTGCTCGCTTGGCTTTCAGTTCCTCTTACGAGCTTATGAGCTCCCAGCCCCGCTTTGGGGACATGCACAGTTCGGGAGAGCACCGGGCCTGGGGTGCCTCTGGGCTGGGTGAGGGCGGGACGTTACTGGCAGGTCCTGGTGCTCTGGTCCAGGTGCTAAGGAGCTGGGGGTGTCCTGGCAGGCTGATCCAGACGAGGGTTGACAAGGAGCCTCAAATACGGGGTGAAAACTCCTGGGGTTCTTGGCAGCTGGCATGGCAGGGGCTCTGTGCTCAGCTTCACCTACTGGGCACTAGCCCGACCAAGATGCCTGGTTAGAATGTGGTGCACGACACAGGCCCCACGGCACATGGTGGGAGTCCTCCCAGACGTGGGGCGGGGGGAGGGTAGGTGAGCAGATGACCTCATTGGAAGGGGAAGGGTCTGTGCAGAGGCCAAGCGCAAGTTCCCAGAGGTGAGCAGGCTTGGAGATTGGGAAGATGACTGGGTTCTGACCCAGGTGGGCCTCCCTGCCTAAGGCTCTGGCCAGGAGTCGATATGGTTGGGAAGCTGGTGTCCATAGCCACCTGCTTCCCTGCGTGTGCCTCTGCAGCCTCAGCCCTGGCCCCTCTTGGCTCCCGAGCCTCAGGCCAGCTTGCAGGTGCTCAGCCTGGCCCCTAGGCGCTGGGCCCTCGCGCTGTGGTGGCGCTGTGACAGTGTGTGTCCTGGGAGGTTGGCAGGCTTTCCGTGTGGCTGGGCATGGAGAGGACAAGTTGTCCTGGTGGCGTGCAGAGGGGGCGGGCACAGGAGAGGACACAGCCAGCAAAAGCAAGGAGGCACAGAGTAGGTGGCAGGGGCTTTGTGGCTAGAAGACAGACAGGACCAGAGTTGGTGTTGGGAGGCCGCGCTGTGGGCATCCACTGTGTGGGACTGTGTACTCTGTTGGGGAGCAGGGATAGC